ATGAAAATAGCTCATGTCTAGTCATTGGGTCCTGAGACAGCACATTTTGAAATTTCAATTAAGCAAAAAATACACGCATGCCTTTATTTAAAAAAAATCCAGTAGTAGTTGTTATTTTTAATAATTACCTACTTTTCAAAATAATTTATCTTGGGATTACTTTAAGTGAAGTGAAGTGAAGTTGCTCAGTTGTGTCCGACTCTTTGTGACCCCATGGACTGTATAGCCTACCATGCTCCTCCGTCCATGGGATTTTCCAGGCAAGAATACTGGAGTGGGTTGTCATTTCCTTCTCCAGAGGATTTGAAGTGAGCTCCGATGCAAATACGTTGTTCAGTTGCTAAGTCGTGTCCGACTCTTTGCGACCCCAGGGACCGCAGCACAACAGGCTTCCCTGTCCTTCACTAGCTCCTGGAGTTTACTCAAACTCACGTCCACTGAGTCAGTGATGCCATCCAAACATCTCAACCTCTGTCGCCCCCTTCTCCTCCTGCCTTCAGTCTTTCCCAGCATCAAGGACTTTGCCAATGAGTTGGCTCCTCACATTAGGTGGCTAAAGTATTGGAACTTCAGTTTCACCATCAGTCCTTCCAGGGATGTTGAATATTCAGGGTTGATTTCCTTTAGGATTGATTGGTTTGATCTTCTTGCAGTCCAAGGGACTCTCAAGAGTCTTCTCCAACACCACAGTTCAAAAGCATCAATTCTTTGGCACTCGACCTCCTTTATGGCCCAACTCTCACATCTACACATGACTACTGGAAAAACCATAGCTTTGACTATATGTAAAATCTGGTAAATAACTCAAGGAATATTTTTATCAGGAAAGCAAAGCAGTGTGAAGCAGTCTCTGTATCTCTTCCTCCTCAACACACGAGGCAGTCAACACTGTGTGTGAGATGAGTGAGGACTCAGAATCAATCATACATTTCAGGGGAAGAAACAGGTAAAACATTGAGTTTGGCTGTTTCACAGTGAACCTAGTGGATACTAACTGCTCTAAGTGGGGCAAATTCTCCTTTGTTCACTTTGCTGGGCATTTCCTGAGCTCCAGGAGGGAGAGACCACACAAATTTGTAATGCTGTCTCCTCCCTGAAAGGAGTTTGCTTTTATGGCAGAGTTGAAAAATTTTTTTTTTCAGTAGTCATTACTGCTTTTATAGCAAAGTATTGATTTGGGGGTGAAAAGGTAATTTATTAAAGTATTTATTTATTTGTTTGCTTATTTGGTTGCATGTAGGATCTTTAGTTGTGGTACACAGGATCTAGTTTCCTGACCAGGGATCAAACTTGGGGCCCTACATTGGGAGTATGGTCTTAGCCACTGGACCACCAGGGAAGTCCCAAGAAAGGTAATTCATAAATGCCACTATAGGTCTCAGTTGTGCTGGAGAAAAGGTAAGGGTTACTTTAATGCTTTTGTTTAGGAAGTCCTCAGAATGGGGCGGGAACTTCTCTAACCACCTGCCACATAGAGACTCATTTAATCTTTACGAGATCCCTATAAAGCAGGTGCCATGATATCTACACTGCCCAGGTGAGGGGCTGGTGGTGGGGAGTTCAGCAACCCCTTCTAGGCTAGTCACACAAGGACCTCCCCTGACCCCCCACCCCAGGCCAGCTTCCTTGCTCTCAACATCTCCTAGGAGACAGGGAATCCAAAGGCGTAAACGGCTTTTACACTGTTGGCAGTAAACCTGTGCTTGCTTTGCAGTTTTTATACTTTATCTAATAGGCCCGTAGCTTCTCCCCTCTTGTCTCGTCACTTTACTAATATCCTTTACAGAAACTTTTACATTTTAATGGTCAGTTTTCCCTGTCCTTTTCTTAATGTGTTGAGCTTTTGGCTTCTTCGAAACACTCCTAAAACAAAGGACATAAATGTGCCCTCCGTATTTGTTTTAAAGCATTAAAAGTTTTAAAGCATTAAAACATTTAAAGCTTTAAAACTTTTGGTTTTATTTGGTATTCAATTTGGGGCTTTTTTTTTAGTCCACATGAATGACCAAACGTGCCAGTTCAATTGATGGAAAAGCTCATGTTTTTCCCACTAATTACACATTTTCCTACAAATGCCTTCATCAACATCTGGGCTCTCAGTTTTTGATCTGTTGATGTATCTATTTCTTCCTGATTTGCACTGTCTATCATTTTCCCTTTTGGTATGTTCATGTCTGGTTTTGATATCAAGGTTATATTAGCCTCTTAAAATAAAATGGGGAAATAGTCTCTCTTTTTCTCTTCTCAGAATAAGTTTTTATAAGATTTGAGTTACCCATTCCTTGAGTATTTAGCAGAATATATCTACAATACAATTGGGAGTAACACTTTCCACGGGTCACTTTTAAACTATAATTCACTTTTAAATAGTTTTTGTCTCTTCAGAATTTCTATGTCTTTTTGAGTCAGTTTTGGAAAATCAAATTTATTAAGAAAATTGTTGATTTTATCTAAATTTTCAAATTTATTGTTATTCATATTATCTGTTATGTTAAAAATGAATCGTATTCCCACTATTTGTTATTTCTGATTTCTTTTCTTCTGATTGCCAGATGGTTGTCAATTTCATCAGTCCTTCCACAAAACCTTTTTGATCATGGTGATTTTTATTATTGTTTCTTTGATTTTTATTTAATAACTTTCTGGTCTGCTGTTACTGTTTTATTGTTTTAGTTTACCCTGTTCCTCATTTATCTTCTTGAATTAGATGCTTAATTAGTCTTCTAATAACAACCTTGAAAAACATATATTTACTTTGGGTACTATTTGCTCGGCATCCTACACATTTACTATATGATGCTTCATGATTCACAGTTCTAAGTATTTTCTGAGTGATATGAGGGTGTTGTGCTTTGACCCATGAATTAGTGGAAGCGTTTTCTCACCAGAGCCTAAGTGAGGACCCATCTTCCGCTGTCATTCCCCTGTTCTGGTGCCCGGCTGGCTTCCCTCTTCTTTGCCCCTCCCTCATTCCCCCCTTGGCCCTTTATCAGAGCATCTACCCTTTGTGAGTTTAGGTTTCATGTGGCCATCTCAGTTCAGATTCTTAGCACTGTACATGACCAAGGCATTACCTCCTGTTCTTGGTGGGCTTTAGAACTCAAGATCCAAGCTCGTGAGACTAAAGCCCTACCCCACTTGTCAGGACCCATGGGCACCATCATGTCAGCCTCTAGTGGGAGCCTGTTGCCCCCTCCCCTTTCTCTGGTCTCTATTCCTTACTTCTTCTCTGTTCTCTGGTAGTTTACTTTCTTAAGAGCTAAGGTAAACATTTTTAACATTTATGTTTACATATACATTTATATTTTATATTAAATACATCAAAACTCATTTACATTTTATCTACAATTTCAGGATGTTTGTAAGAGGAGGATTTTCAGGTTCTTTGGCTTGCCATCTTTGCTAGAATTTTAACTACCTCCCACTTTTTAAGTCTCTCCTCTTCCTGGTTTGTGCTTCCTGAGACCTTCTGAAAATCCATTTGTAAGAACAGCTTTATTGAAGAAGTGTGACTGATGTACTGAGTTGGCCCAAAAGTTCGTTTGGGTTTCCGTAGGGTATTAAGGAAAAGCTCGAATGAACTTTTGGGCCAACCCAATACAGAGAACTTCAGGTACACAACTGGACGGCTTCTGACATAGTGAATGCCCTTGGTACTAGCACTACAACCAAGGTGAGGGGCAATATCCACCACCTCCCGTAGTTTCTTACATGCCTGTGGGCTTTGTGCGTGTGTGTGTGTGTGTGTGTGTGTATTAAGAGCACTTGACAGGAGGTCTAGGGGCAATATCCACCACCTCCCGTGGTTTCTTACATGCCTGTGGGCTTTGTGCATGTGTGTGTGTGTGTGTGTGTGTGTGTGTATTAAGAGCACTTGACAGGAGGTCTACCCTCCTAACAAATTAAGTGGGTGATGCTGTATTGTTGACTACAAGCAAGTTTTGTACAGCAGATCTCGAGAACTTGTGCCTCTGGGTGTAACTGAGACCTTACACCCACTGAACATCAACCCCCGCTTCCCCTCCCCCAATTCCTGGCGCCCACTCCTGTACTTTCTACTTCTGTGACTTGACTCTTCTCCATCATTCGCTCCTATGGGTGGAATGGTCCAGAGCCTGCCCTGTTTAAGTGGCTTACTTCACCTGACCTGACATCCTTCAGATGCAACCGAGTTGTCAATGGCAGGATTTCTTCTTTAAGGCTGACGGAGAATCTTAGGAAACAACCCCTCTATCACTTCTGCCCCTAATATTTCAATTGGAGGCTTATCTCTAGGCACAGAGTAAATCTCACAGTGGCAACGTCTCTAAGAAGTGACGGGTCCTTCAGCAGAACCATGGAAATGGCCTCACTATTCAACAGAGCAGCTGCCTCCTATATGTCTTCTCGCTTTCAAATTCCCCTTTGGGAATAATCCTCTTGCATCCTATGACCGAGATCTTAACTACTGAAGAATTTCCTGGTTAAATAAAAATAGCTCATCCACATTTAATACAGATGAAGTAACCTAAGACCTTGGGGCAGCGTGTGGTCCCCACTTCACAGGTTAGGAGAGGGAAGAAAGGGAAGATCTAAGCGAGAGGAGATGCTGGAATTCTAAGCCCAGGATTGACTCCAGGGCTGCAGGCTGTTCTCAGGGAGGATTTTCCCCCAGGTGGGGAATGCAGGCCTGCCTCCTGGGGGCTCCCCTTGTGCTCTGACACCCAAGCAGCAGCACGCGTGCTTCACCGTGCTTTTGTGTTGTTGTGTGCTCAATATATCTGGGTAACAACTGCTTTTAAATCCTGAGTGCCTTTCCAGTCTGTTGCTATCGCAACAAGTGAAAGCTGTTCAGGCTATGTTTACTGATAATTTATAAGCAAGGGCAGCAAGCCAGAGGAGGAGCCTAGTGGTTAGCAATCTCAGAAGGACACACACTGCATCCAGGGCTGGCTCCTGCCCTCCTTCACACAGGTGTCTAAGAAAGGAACAGATGACTGGGAGGCAGAGAGGCCACTTACCCGCCCCACTTCCACCAGGTTGGTCACCATGACGATGCTCGCCGTGTTCTCGTGCCACACCATCCTCCAGAAATCAGAGATTGTCTCCTGCATCGGCCCTGCAGCAAGACAAAGCAGAGACTTGTGTTGTCTTTGGGAGTTTGCACCTGTGGCACTTCCGGGGCTCACAAAGAAATCTCTGGACAGCTGCAGGCAGTCCCCTCATCCCTCTAGGTGGATGGAGCTCTCCCTACTAGTGTAGATGTGGTGGCGGGAGGCACTCTTCCTATAATAGCACCCTTAGAAACACTGATTTTTTCACTCGTGGTTTAATTTTCTCATGTCATCCAACGCATCTGTATTTGAGCCCTTTTTGCCCTTCTTAAATGACTGCTGTGAAAGAAAGTTATTTCTTCATCATTCAGCTATTTATCTCTATAATACTTGAGAGTGAGATTTTTTTTAAAAAGGGGTACCGTCACTCTTCTTGCTAACAACTGGCGAGATCCAGGGAAGCAGTCTATAGAATGAAATGAGCCTCTATAGGAAAGATGGCCTTTTCTAGTTTCTAGTATTTTTCTTAATCTGTGCTGTCAAATTAATCCTTTCTAGAATTTTCGCCTAATACCTTCCAGCGAGTTTGGAGTTTGGAGCACTTGTATTTCCTGTCACTGACCATGATCTGCCTTCCCAGCTCCTGGGATCTGAGCATTAAGGAGCTCTTTTTATGGACTGGGAAAAAAGAGGGAAAATCTATGTTACAAAATTCCAGTGCTATAGACACTGTAAAGGCACAGAAAGCTGGAATTTAAACTTTCTTTAAATGCAGATTTTTAAAAAAAGACCCAAACTCTATGTTCAGACATGTTTGAGGGTCTCCATGTAATAGCATAAATCTTTTTTGGATAAATCTTCATGGTTCCTATTTATTTCAGTAATACATAATTAAAAATCTAAGGTTAACTAGCATATTAACCTTTTCTACTAAAATTACAAAGGACTTATCTCTGACCAGTCCCAATTTACATGCAATTTTTCTATAGTATTTATCACTTTTTGAAGCCCACCATGGATGCTATTTTAATACAATGTTTATATTTTCACATTTGTCAACTTCTTTGCTCCCTTTCAAACAATTTTATAACTTTTATCTAGCTCAACTTTTAATTTTTCACAATCACAAAATAACATTCTTCAGGAATTTCTTAAGGTTCTGCTGGTGGCAAGCTCTCAGAATTATTTGCCGAAAACATATTTAGACAGTTTTATTGGGTGTGTATTTCTAGAGTGACGTTTACGCTGTGGCTTCCATTTTAACAGTATAAGTCTTTATATGACCAGTAGACATGTGGGGAAAAGAGAGGAAACGCTTTCAAGGGTGGACGGGCTGGACAGATGTGTTGTTGGATCTGGACTTGGTAGATTCCCGGGCCTGGAGTGTAAATATGTGAGTTTGGGACCTGCCTCTGGCTTTGAACCGAGTGTGTGATGTGGGGTAAGCTCCTTAGTCATGAAAAAAGACAAACAACCCAATTTATCAATGAAAATGGGCAGTGCACTTGAACTGACATTTCTCTCATGCCTATCATCATTAGTTATTAGGAAAATGCAAACCACAGCCACAGTTAAGATACCATCTCATACCCACTGGGATGGTCATAATTAGAGAAAAAAGCCAGAAAATAACACTGTGACCTTAGTATCTGCATCTCTCCTTATCTACATACTGATTTCAGGAACACGGCTGAGGCTTATTTTGAGAATCTGTGGAATGAGCGCTGACTCAGGCATTTTATACACAGTCACGTGTCAGAACAAAAACCAGGTGCAAGAAAAACCCCCCAAACAACAACAACCCAAGGCGCATTTACATTAAAATAGCATGAGTGGAGAGGATAAGATGGAGGTATATTTAAAGCAATTTGGGCTGTAAGTTGATCAATTTTTAAGCCAGATGATGGCTACATGAAGATTCATTGTACAATTCTGTCGATTTTTGTACATACTTGAAGTTTTCTATGTCAAGATTTTAAAAAAAAAATCTCACCAAGAGATATATTATCATTGACTGTAGAATCTGGTCAGTAAAAACAGAGATATTTCTCCACAGATTATTTTGCAGAAATCAGTAGGTTAAGCCATAGGTTAGGAAGAAGAACTTCTAATCTTCGTTTGCCTTACGAAATGAACATTAAGGAAATTAAAGCTTCTAAAGCCCAAGGCCATAAAAGAGCTGAAGATGCAAAAAACAACAACAGAAAAGTTAACAAAGAAACAAAAAAAGGGTGCATTTAAAGCTATTTATTGATGGTCACTTGCTGGCTGAGCAAAGGGGGCACTCCTGGCCCCTTCAGGCACCGCCCGTTCCTCCTGACCAAGTATCAGTCTCTGCCTGTACCTTTTCTTCTTCCTGTCAAGCTTCCCTCCCTTTTCTCTGACTACAAATGTCTACTGTTCCTCCTGCTGCTGTGGCCACACTCTTCCCCTCCTCGTGAGACCCCCTCCACCTCCTGAGCCTCTGCGCCGAGTCCCTTCATGGGACCTCGGGCGCTGCCCCCCACGAAGCTTTGCCTGCCGCTTGCCTCGTCCCTTGGCGCGTGCGTGCCATTCTCCTGATGGACGGGCTGAAGATTTCAGTGACTTCAGTCAAGGTTACCGGGGACACCAGTAAACATCAGATCTCATCAATCACTACACTTCCAACTCACGGGAAAAGAGGTGTCTCCATTGTGTACTTAACGGCTTGTTACTTATTCACAAGGAAAAAATAACCCGAGTCCATCTCTGTGCAGGCACACAGTCTCTCCAGTGAGACCCTGAAACAAAGGGGTGACACCCACCAGACACACAGGCCTGTGCCACCTGCTCTGAAACTTCCAGAACCAGTTCTGACGACAATGGCTACCGTGGATGAATCTGGTGCCCCAGCATTGCAGATGCATGTGCTTTCAGAAAGAAATCTTCCTCTCCCCTCAGTGCCCAGCAGAGATATTCAAGGCTGGGCAAGTTCCCAGGTGCAACTCACTGGCCCTTTCTTGACTCTAGAGCCCCTGTGATGATTTATCTCAAGTTCTTCTGGGAGGAGGGAATGTGGCTGTCACGTTTATTGCTCTTTCCTTAGGGTCCATGGAGTACCCAGTGCAGAGAATGGGCTCATAAATTAATGAATGAATGAGTACTTCTGTATGCATTGCTATAAACCATATTATTTACTATTAAAGTGCTCTATTAAGAGTGTGGACTCTTTGTCACCCCATGGACTGTAACCTGCCAGGCTCCTCTGTTCACAGAATTCTCCAGGCAAGAATACTGGAGTGGGGAGCCATTCCCTTCTCCAGCGAATCTTCCTCACCCAGGAATCCAACCTGGGTCTCTTGCATTGCAGGTGGATTCTTTACCATCTGAACCATCAGGGAAGCCTCATATAAATATTAAGTACTATTAAAAGATAATACTTGTAGGAGTCTCTTTCTTGACATGTTTTGGAGATTACCTGTAGAAGCTTGAAAGAACATTTGCCTTTACTTCTTCCTGATTTACTATAAAAGGCGGCATCTTTTGCAAGGGCTTCTTCAGAGTGAGCGTGAGGGTCCCCTGGTCTCTAGAATGCTGCCCGGCAGTGCTGCCGAAACTGGTTCCAACTACTGAGCAGGTCGCTCCTTGGAGTCCCCCTGCTCCCAACGCTTTCCCTCCAATCTCAACCCAATCCATCACTGGGAGCCAGAGTGCAATTCTGGCTTTCACCAACAGTTCTCAACTCAGGCTGCATATTACAATCACTGTGCAGCTTTACAAAATTCTGATAACCTAACCCAAGAGTCTCTGGGTTTATTGGCTTGGGAGGGGGTTGGTCTCGTGGCGAAGAACCACAGAGATTCAGCATCCAGGCATTTGGCTACGCCTCTGACCTAACTATCAGGTGGTCTCGTTCAGAGGTGAAACACCCAAGATCTGTGGCTTTTGAATCTACTGAATAGTCTAACTTGCAATATAAGCTCTTTGAATCAAGAAGTCCCAATTCTTTCTGATTTAGAAGGAACTTGACTCATAAGAGGGGGCTTCTCTGGTGGTTCAGACAGTAAAGAATTCACCAGCTATGCAGGAGACCTGGGTTTGATCCCTGGGTTGGGAAGATTCCCTGGAGAAAGGAATGGCAACCTACTCCAGTATTCTTGCCTGGAGAATTCTATGAATGGGGGAGCCTGGAAGGCTATGATCCATGGGGTTGCAAACAGTCGGACATGATTGAGTGGCTAACGCTTTCACTTTCACTCATAAGATATCATCTGGGAACATGGCTGTACCATTTCACTGAGGGGCAAAGCGGTAGTCAAGGTGACACAGGTTTTTTTATAATGTTTACTTAACTACTTTCGGGGTATCTTTAAATCAAAGGGCGGGATCCATGGAGAGGTCACTGGTGACTGTTCTCAGGGTGGACAAACAGCTAAACTCCTACGACAAGGAATCCAAAACAGCAGGCAAAGGATGCTGTAAACCCTGTCCCTCCGGCATCAGCAGTTGGGATGACAACCCCGGAAGGTATCAGGTTTCTGCAGTTGCTGTCTGGGTAACGGCCCATGATCGGTGTGGCTATGCCTTTACAGACGTTGGCACAATAGGCAGGAAGGTTATTCTCAGCAGCTGTCCTATGGGGACCAAAGCGTTTGAAAGTAAGGCCTCGAAACTTCAATAGCATCAGGCTGGCACTACATTCCGTTTCCCTGATGACCATCGGCACACACAGACCTCTCTTGGCTGAGAAGGAGACATGCTGATGGGTAGTTCTTACACCACCCATCCCCCAGGGGAGCAGCAACAAGAAGGGGCAGAAAGAACAAGAGCAGAATAAAAACAATAAAAAGCCATGACTGAAAGACATCCAAGAATGGCTCTATTGTGTGAGACTAGTTCTCTGGCTCATGGGCAGTGAGAGATATTAAAAATTACAATTTCAAGACCTTGATAGATGACTCTGCCCTCTCCCTTTCACATTCTCATTTCTATGCAGTATGTTTTCTGCATTAATTAGAGCCACAGGAAGTCGGTCCTTGGAGCTCACAGTGACGCACGAGAGTTTTTGGAAGGGAAGAAAGGGTTCAGATATGTCCCAGTATTC